GAGTGTGAGGTAGTGTGTTGGTGCGTGTATGTATGGTGGCGTGTGGGTGTGTGAGGTAGTGTGTTGGTGCATGGGAGTGTGTAAGTATGTATGGTGGCGAATGAGTGTGAGGTAGTGTGTTGGTGCGTGTATGTATGGTGGCGTGTGGGTGTTTGATGTAGTGTGTTGGCGCTTGGAGTGTGTAAGTATGTATGGTGGCGTGTGGTTATGTGAGGTGGTGTGTTGGTACGTGGGATAGTGTAAGGACTGATGGTGGCGTGTGGGTGTGTGAGGTGATGTGTTGGTGCGTGGGAGTGTGTAAAGATGTATGGTGATTTGTGAGGTTGTGAGTTGGTGTGTTTGTTCTCAGGATGTGAAAGTATGTATGTTTGCAAGTGGTTGTATGAGGCGCGGTGTTGGTGCGTAGGGGTGTGTGAGGATGTATGATGGTAAGTGTGTGTGTGTGACAGGGTGTTGGTGCGTAGGGGCGTGTGAGGATGTATGATGGTGAGTGGGTGTGTGTGGCGGGGTGTTGGTGCGTAGGGGTGTGTGAGGATGTATGATGGTGAGTGGGTGTGTGAGGCGGAGTGTTGGTGCGTAGGGGTGTGTGAGGATGTATGATGGTAAGTGGGTGTTTGGCGGGGTGTTGGTGCGTAGGGGTGTGTAAGGATGTATGATGGTGAGTGGGTGTGTGTGACGGGGGTGTTGGTGCGTGGGGGTGTGTAAGGATGTATGATGGTGAGTGTGTGTGGCAGGGTGTTGGTGAGTGGGTGTGTATGGCGGGGTGTTGGTGCGTGGGGATGTGTAAGGATGTATGATGGTGAGTGGGTGTGTGTGGCGGGGTGTTGGTGAGTGGGTGTGTGTGGTGGGGTGTTGGTGAGTGGGTGTGTGGGGCGGGGTGTTGGTGCGTGGGGGAGGGGGATAGGGTAAGCCTTCATTTGATTTATATGCTTTTGTTACCATACAGATATTTTTTTCGATTGACACGCAGGCTAAGAGATAGATGGATCTATAGTGCCAATACCGATATTTTTTTCATTACGAAATGTCTTTGGCACATCAAAGCAAATTTTAAACATATCGATAACAGTAAATGTAGGAATAGGTGTTATATGAAGATAACAAATAGCCGAATGTTTTAGTTTTTGTGTTTTATAGTCCTCTGCTATCATACACTGTCGCCTTTTCACTATTAGTCATTATCATTATAAAGTATACGAGGTTTAAAGAAACCACCCGCTGCTAAAATATCAAATGCACATACTTCAGAATGTGACGGCTTAAAGTGAAGGACTTCTTATTACAATCAAAAATAAAATATTGAAAAAATACGACCGTTTTACATGTACGTATTTCAGTAAACAGTGATATAAGTGATAAATCGGTATGAGTTTTCATTCGTCACAAGATAGAAGACAAATTAAATGTCAGTTTTGGAACGGTTTGTGTGATGTTGAAATGTTTATGAAAATGTTTTAGGTCTAATCCGCCTACATATGTTCATATGCCTGAACGATTTTTAAGAAATATGACGACTGTTTAGGAAGAATTTCCTTTCTCCACTCTAATATTTTGGGGTTTTTTTGTAAGATGTTTGATTTCCGCCGGGATAAAATGAACATAACGTCATTTTAAGCTATAAGTGGAGTTGAATGGAAAGTTGATATTTTTTCCAAACCGTAACAATCTTAACACGAATACGATAGTGAAACACTCAAGAGTATCCAAAAGTTCTTAAATTACAAAATACTTGACAAGAAAATACCCACAGGTCAACAGAATCATAATTCAGACTCAAATTAAGTAAACCTAGGGTGAAATAAGAGCAGAAGAAAGATTTACACGGAGACTCCTAAAAATACAAGGAGTATTAGACCAGGCGTTCCGGAAGGGTAAACGTATTTTGCTTCATCGACGACACCCGACTTGGTCAATCCAAGTAAGCAATGTAAAAGCCTCAAATGAGACCAAGGGATACACTAACGGACCCATCTGTCAAACTGGCGAGCATCAAATACGTCAAGCTTCAAAACGCACAAAGAAATGTGTTATTTCTCAACGGGATTGTCACGTCGTATGTATATATTTGTTGTTTGTGAACGTTCGGTGTTTTCGTTGTTCCTGTGAGGCCACCTATCGTGTGTGTGACCAGGTGAGTGGGAATTCATGGCAGTCGCGTGAATTCCCAAGCCGTTGTTTACGGGTTATTTACCCGATTTGTATCTGCAATAGCGGATGTGTAACATGTTCATGCACAGATTACAGACTTTGGTAAGTCTATCTTTATAATAATTTTCCCTATGTTTTACTGTTTTGTTTACCCGTTTCTTATTAAATATCTTTTGCCTAGGTCGTGCGGCCCAGCCATGCGTAACATTGTTATTATGATGTGTCATGCTAAATTAGGGCGGGTATTCTTAAATATTTTGTTGCCATCAGCTAGTTATATCCTTATTGTAGCTAGATCTGTGTATTGAGGCAGTTATCATGACTTTGTATATATTTTATTGACATTTCGGACATTTCACATTAGAAAAAGTATGGAAGTCGTGAGATACCGTAAAATGTTTTGTGCATTGATTACAAGATAGTTGTAAGGTCTTTCTGAGCCCGCACGAAATAGAACGTGAAATTATTACTTTCATTACTCTTTATACTGTGTAATGTAACGAATTATAGTAATTTAGCGGTTTTCTATGGAAATTTTTTGTTTTTACTTTCTTTGATTTTATTTACATTGTTTTGTAAGTAGAATTTCATCGGAACCCTGAACTTATGTTATTGTAAACTAGAATGATACTTTAAGATGTTTCTAATATTGAGCAATAAAATCACAATTTTTTCCTAACTGAAATGCTATGTAAACACATCTTTATTATAGTGTTGTTCAAAAATTAGCTTATAACATAGTTTTTAATTTTTTTATAACTTATCTTTTTTTTTATTCAGTACAATGTACAATCGATACATGAATAAAATAAACATACTCTTACAGACACGCCCACAAGAACACACTTATATATTCAGACTGAGACTTTACATATACAAATATATACACATCAGTATTTACGCTCCTTCACACATATGTACATGCATGCATATACATTTGTAGACATATGTATCGTAGAAGCATTTAAATATACACCAATATATACATACAAACAGTATACGACATACACATTATATACTCATTTACATTCTTACTCATGTGCACTAACTTACTTAAACATGCGCTCAAACTTATGTTATTATGCATGCTACAAACTGACATGCACGCATAAATATACATACACTATATATACATAAGCATATATACGAGTATATACATGTTTATATACTAACAAACAGACCTTACTTATTTCTATGGAAATTGCTAGTATTTGAATTTTAATTGATTATATCTTAAGTTGTATGCAAGTGTTGTATGTAAGTTTTAGTTTTCGTTATTATTATTCTTTAAGCTCCATGTGACGGTCACAACAAACTTCAGTTACCTCAGCCAGGGTCACTTACTAGTAAGTGACGGCACCAGGAGTTTTTGACAGTAAGATCAGCCAACTCACTAGAACGCCAGGACAGGCCTTGAGGACATTACAAGCCATGTTCATCTCGATTGCTATCAAGTGACGGCACTAGGACCTTGGACATTAAGGCCTGACAACTATCTGGAACACCAGGACAGGTCTTGAGGTGGACATCGCAAGCTTAGCAAATAGAGAGTCTGCGCTGTTGGGTACAGTTCAAGTATGGATACTGCTATCATGGGAAGCACAGCAGCGTGTGTCAAACGATATGAGTGACATACTCTCTTGCTTGACACATGCAGTGTCAGATTACTACTGATCACTCAGCCTTGGTGGAACTACGTGTTCTTGGACGTTTTTCGCTGTGGAACCAATGACTGTGTTCGTCCGCGGATTGGAACTTTGTTGTATGATTGTGAGAGACAAACCTAGTGATTTCCAGTCCAGCAGAGACTGTTATCATCATAGTGTATTGCATTATTTGGATGAGTGTGTGTGTGTGTTTTGCTTGTGTTGTACATAAATTGTCGCTTGAATATTTGCATCGTTTCCATTTTCCTGATAACTACTCAAGAGCTTGTCCTACGTTACAGAGATCACCGTTACGACCGTGAAACTATTTCATCAATCTGCATCTTTGGAAACCCTGTACTACGAGCGTGTACCTCAGCTGAAGACTTCTTGCACAGTGTTACTTCTTGATAGTGTATTTTTCAGTAATAGTGTTGTATAAAGCAACGCCACTTTAATTAAAGTTTTCTCAGAGAGGAAAAATGTTTTTTTTATTGTTAACAATTTTCTGATTGTAGACTAAACCGCAGTCTTGATTTTAACATTTCTTTCGATCATTTCGGATTTTTTTCAGCCGTTTCTTAATCTTAGATTTTATGCCCTTAGCATCACTGACGAGTCCTAGAGGGACGAAACAACTGTATGGTGAGGTTTAGTTCATTGTTTGGCCCTAATGTATCTAACTCTAAATCTATATTAAAAGCTGTGTGTTTTTTCTTCAAAATTTTTCGACGCAACATATTTGTTATATAAAGTATACAGTAGTACAATAGAATTAACGAACGCTTTCCAGAAAAAAAAATGTGTTAGGTGTTTCTGAAACCATTCATTATCATCACATTAGAATCATTGTGTATGTGTGATGACTATACACTGCTAATAGGCACCAAGTCAGTTACACCATATCTTGCAAGAAAGTAAAACAAAGACGATTTTTAAATTTTAAACGAGATATTTGGGAAGAAAAGTTTTAGAATTTCCATTTCATCTTGCTAGAGATTGGTAAAATGCAACATTCTAAGACTCGTTTCTTATTCAGGATCTTCTACTTGTGAAATGTTAAGATGCAAGTTTTAGAATACTGATCCGATCAGACGCATTACCCTATTTAAGTAAAATAGTATTTTAATCGATTGCATAAAGAAATGAGCCAGTTTAATAAAATGAAAATCAAGTGTAATTTAAATGTAATGAACTTTTACTTACCAGAAAGGCCAAAAGAACCCCGCGCAGCATTTTCATCCTGTCGTGTTACTCACCCGATGAAATAAGCCAATACGACTACTGTGTGTATCCTTTTATAGTTACCACGTCCCTGCTTTCCTATAATGAACCAGGGAAGTTTTCGAGACCTCCATAGTCAACATGACGTAACCTAATCCCAGGCCTACCTGTATGTATATCAGAGACATAAATCTCTTATTCTCTACAAAAGCTGCACATCTTCCAATTTTGTGCAGCCACATGTCACGTATCTTTTTCTGATACCCCTGGTGGGTGTGATATAATGCTTGCATCTCCTTTACATATCCTGTTAAATCGTGCTGAATGAAGCCTGAGTTTTTCGTTCCTCATTAGCATGCGTAATGGTTACCGCGCATCGTAATAAACTTAGAAATCCTACCTGGACTGAGAAAGACTTAAACGGTGGACGGTTACCTCACGGAACAAGTTCATATCTTATTACATTTTAAAGATGATTTATCCCTTGTTCTTATTTCAAGACACTTTTATGATCGGGGAAAAAGTATCCGGGTACTTTTATGATAGGGGATACAAATATGCTACGTCACCGGCATGTTCTGAGGTTTTATGTTAAATTAGGCTCTGGTCATTTAATTCCATAAGGGTTTGACTGTGTTTCCATATGAGAGCATGTTACAAAATAAACATTTACCACACACTACCTGGTTATCTGTCAAACAACGATTTGTCGAGAAGTAGTCTGTTTTTTGGTTAAATGAATGTAATCTTACTTATTCTAATACACTCATAGAACTGACATACGGACAAGACACGGGAAATTTCCTTCCTAATCGACGAGTTAATATTTGCATGCTTGCTTCACATAGTTCATACAATATATTAACGTTTTTGATAATATCATCGACGGTCAATTTAATTCACTGGTGCATAAACTTTAACAATTGATATAAAGCAGAACTTGTTTTCCTTTTAACTTTAACAGTGATATTGTATAATATCAAACTAATAACAGGATGTATGATGCTATCGTCGACGTCCATTCTGGAATGACTTTAATTCTATATATTTTATCACCATGCAAACATGTTTCATCGTCTATCACTTAGAAGATATTCATTATGCCTTATGTTAAACTTGTTACAGATACAATGCTCATTTTTATTCTCCCGTTTTAAGTTTGGCCATGGATTTTGAAAAGGTTGTCTAGCGATTGCTATCCATATCAGCAGGGTATTTCCTTTTGATTTTACATTTTCACGTGTATCATACACGCTATGCTACGGAATCAAGATAGTGACCTTACCAACCCATATCCAAATGCCTCACATCCACATATTACCATCATTGGAGTGTGTGACGTCGCTTTTCTTTTCTTACCATCTCTATATCTTTCATCAACATATTCTGTGTATTACGGCATGAACTGAGTGATTGAAGTGAGAGTGGATAAGGACAGCGTGGATTGAGTGATTGAAGTGAAAGTGGATAAGGACAGCGCGGATTGAGTGATTGAAGTGAAAGTGGATAAGGACAGCGCGGATTGAGTGATTGAAGTGAAAGTGGATAAGGACAGCGTGGATTGAGTGATTGAAGTGAAAGTGGATAAGGACAGCGCGGATTGAGTGATTGAAGTGAAAGTGGATAAGGACAGCGTGGATTGAGTGATTGAAGTGAAAGTGGATAAGGACAGCGCGGATTGAGTGATTGAAGTGAAAGTGGATAAGGACAGCGCGGATTGAGTGATTGAAGTGAAAGTGGATAAGGACCGCGCGGATTGAGTGATTGAAGTGAAAGTGGATAAGGACAGCGCGGATTGAGTGATTGAAGTGAAAGTGGATAAGGACAGCGCGGATTGAGTGATTGAAGTGAAAGTGGATAAGGACAGCGCGGATTGAGTGATTGAAGTGAAAGTGGATAAGGACAGCGCGGATTGAGTGATTGAAGTGAAAGTGGATAAGGACAGCGCGGATTGAGTGATTGAAGTGAAAGTGGATAAGGACAGCGCGGATTGAGTGGTTGAAGTGACAGTGGATAAGGACAGCGCGGATTGAGTGATTGAAGTGAAAGTGGATAAGGACAGCGCGGATTGAGTGATTGAAGTGAAAGTGGATAAGGACAGCGCGGATTGAGTGATTGAAGTGAAAGTGGATAAGGACAGCGCGGATTGAGTGGTTGAAGTGACAGTGGATAAGGACAGCGCGGATTGAGTGATTGAAGTGAAAGTAGATAGGGACAGCGCGGATTGAGTGGTTGAAGTGAAAGTGGATAAGGACAGCGCGGACTGGCTGTATAGACTTTAATATAGTGTAAGTGTGGTTATGAGTGAGGGAGTGAAGTGTGCTGAATTAGGGTAGGAGATATATCTTGTTATGTGTATATAGTGTAATAAACTTGTATATATTATATTTTGGTTGTTTTAGCCATTCTTTGCGAGTCGCGCTCGTCCAGGTTACAAATTTTGGTGGCAGCGGTGGGATAAGGCGACTTTGCATTGTTTGGTATACTGAAATGACTAATTCTGTGTGCTAATTTGTAGTTTGTAGCATGTAGGATGGTTTGAAACTCAACAGATTTCACCCCATTTTTGCTGTTGATTTGGCTTTGAAGCAACCTGTATTTGTGCTGGGTTATCCGAGGCGAGATTTAGGAACGGTATTGGTCCTATATGTTGTTGTACCGCACATGTTGTACATCATTGCTTATGTTGTTTACGTTGTATGTTGTTGTATGCATTATATGCATTTGCATGATGTGGTCTCTTCAAGAGTTACTTAAGACATGTGGTGCGCTTGGACTACAGGGGTCAGAGCTGCGTGATTTCATTCTCGCTGACAAGCCAGAGAAAGAGAAGAAAGGAAGTTTGATAGAGAGGAGAGGCGAGTTGAAGCTGAGAGACAGCACCAGCTGGTTCTATTGCAGGAAAAGAGGGATGAAATGACCTTACAGATGTCACTTGAAAAGGAGCGTGAGGAGCGTTCTGTGAGAGAACATACCAGGAAATTAGAGTTGCTGGAATTGCAGAAAGGCCAAGGTAATGTCACTTCAGGAAACCATGACCAGAAATATTCACATGGTTGGGTGAAGGGTCCTAAGCTGCCTTCTTTTGAAGAGGGAAAGGACAACATTGACAGTTATCTTCAGCGTTTTGAGCGCTATGCCTCAGCTCAACACTGGGATCGTGATAGCCAGTGGGCAACTAACCTCAGTGCTCTCCTCAAGGGCAATGCCTTAGATGTCTTCAGCAGACTTCCAGTTGATCAGTCTCTCCACTATGACACTTTGAAAGAGGCTTTACTTAAGCGGTTTGAGATGACCGAAGAATGTTTTAGACAGCGTTTCGGGACTGGTAGGCCGGACTCAGGTGAAACATTTACTCAGTTCTCCGTAAGATTGGAAAACTACTTTGTCAGATGGTTAGAGGTTTTTTTTTTTCGTTTTTATGCTATATTGTAAACTATTTTTTACGCGTGACATGGTATGTTGTAGACTGTTTTTCCACACTTGAACTCGTCAATGTTTTAAACATTACGTGACCACGCATTAATTAAAAATGTGAAATAATTATTGATACATGAATGTCACTGAAATTCCTTTCATTTATCATTTGTTTTATATTTCTTTTATTTTTCAAAAAGATCATATAGAGCATGACAACAACAACATCATCATCATCATCATCATCATCATCAAGATCATCAAACATCATCATCAACCACAATCACCAGTCATCAGCATCATCATCATCATCATCATCATCATCATCATCATCATCATCATCATCATCATCATCATCATCATCATCCATATTCAAACATCATCATCAACCACAATCAACAGTCATCATCATCATCACTGTCGTCGTCATCATCATTCATTCCGAAATCATCATCATCCAATATCATCAACAATCATCATCATGTTGATAATTGATACTCATCATTCATCATCATCAATCATTCAAACATCTTCATCCACAATCCTCAACAGTCATCATCAACATCATATCATCATCATCAACACCAACATCGTAGTCATCCATCATTCCATCATCATCATTATCAACATTATCGTCATCATCATTATCAATAGCATCATCATTAACATCATCATCATACTCTTCAATTTATACTTGTCAATCAATATAATCATAATTTTTCATCAATCATATCCTCACACATACATCTTTCACACCCTCACTTCCTCATACACTTTCTCAGCATTAATATTATCAACACAGTCACCATATTAACAAAAATACTGTAACAAACATATATTGTACATACATCCTCACACACATCTTCATACTTTCCACAGAAGTGAAAAAAAAAAACACTGCAGAAAGAGGTATTCTTTATTAATACTAAGATACTGAAAAAGAGAGAGAGAGAGAGAGAGAGAGAGAGAGAGAGAGAGAGAGAGAGAGAGAGAGAGAGAGAGAGAGAGAGAGAGAGAGAGAGAGATGGGGGGGGGAGGAGTGGTTGGGCTAGGTATGCATTTAAAAAGAAAATCAAAACATATATGCATATGGAAAAATAATTACCTTATCACTGATGTTTTCACACACAATTTAAATTAGTCTGCAAGGAGGAGTAAAATGTTAATAGATACTTGATAAGTAAAAGGCCTTCATAATCACAACCAAACTGATTAAAACAGTACAAATTACAACTTAATTCTCCCCAAATTCTAATAACCTTCTCCATTTCCTCCATTCATTTTCTAAAATCTGCCGTGCATGGTCACCTTGACTATTTGCAATATATTTTTGACAAATGTAATGCTCTTTAATTGAATTTATCAGAGCATTTGGATTTAGAATTTTATGTAGACATCTTGTCTTATATATATAAGACTTAATCATGAGTAAAATTTCATTATCTACCCTATTTTTTAAAACATTCTCATGACTCAAGGTAACTCCAAAAAGAAAACTTTTCTTATTAAATGAAAATGGTATCAAAAGTGCATCAAAGAGTGTTTCAACAATAAACAGAAATCTCTGAGTTTCTCGACATTCTCACATAATGTGAATAATTGTTTCTCTCTCCAAGTTACAGAGAGGACAAATAGGATTATTTGATAACCAAATTTTAAACAAGTATACATTTGTTGTTAGAATATGCTGCACTATTCTATACTGAAACCACTGTAACTTTGTATTTTTTGTAGGGAGTTTTATAAATATCAGTCCAGTTCAAATCAATATCTTCAAATATTTCTTCCCACTTCTTCCTACCTGTAGAAACATGACTGTGTTTTACCATTAGGTTATATAAATCCTTGGTCCCCATAACTTTTTTCAAGAAAAAAAAATATGTTACTTGGGATAATTGGGTAGCAAATTAATTGCTTTTTGTAACCTACCTTTCCTAGAAATAATTTAATAGCAGAGATCACACCATTATATTGAAGAAAGTTTGTTTTAACTTGATAAATTTCTGTAAATTCTTGAAATGTGTAAAAAGAGAAAGTGTTTATATCTTTTACTAAATCATGAATTATTGTTACTCCCTTCTGATACCAAGCCTTGTAAAAAATAGTACTTTTCGCAATAGTTAAATTCCTGTTATACCATAATGGTGATGTTAAAACTGAGTTTTCCATATTTTCCTTTACTGCATCTGAATCATTAAATCTAACCCAAGCTTTGTACACATCCTTCCAAAACATATTTTTGCATTTATTTTGACAATCCTGAATATAGGCATTACCAAATGTAGATATCTTATGCAAGTCTGTAAATGTTTCAAAAATATGTTGCCACTTAGATGTTTTCTGATATAACCTTCTTATCCATCCTAATTTTAAAGAATCTATAAATGACCTAACATTAACAGAAGGTTAGAGTTGGCAAAAGCTGAGAAGACCTATGAGGGTCTGAAGGACCTTATGCTATGTGACCAGTTTTTGCAGGTTTGTGGCAGTGAGCTTAGGCTATTTCTTCAGGAGCGTATTCCAAAGTCCATGGACGAAATGGCGAAGCTGGCAGACCAGTATGCTGATGCCAGAGGTAATCCTTCAAATCTTGTCAAACCCAAACATACTGGACATAAGCAGTATCAGGGGAACCGTTCACAGACGGACGTTACTAAGTTTGATGTAAAGAAAGACTCTAAAAGTAAGGTCAGTAGCAGTAATGGTAATTTAGGAGGTAGGGCTTGTTATGTCTGCAAGAAGACTGATAATCTTTCCTGCGACTGTCCATCCAGTACCAAGAAGAAGCAATCCCGTGTCGGATTAGTGGCAGACTCTGATGCGCAAGAGGCAATACATGGTGGTGGTAACTGCAAGCATCATTCTACCGGTAAGAAGTCTGGTAGTACGCCTACATGTGGCGCTCTTAGTTCAAGTGAGGAGGACAACGACGAAGAGGATCCAGATCAGTTAAGTATTTCTTGTAGTGCACCTGTGTTAGAATCTGGTATGCCTGTTGTTAGGGGTCTTGTGGGTAGACATGTTGTCACAGTGTTACGAGACACTGGTTGTAGTGGAGTCGTTATCAGAAGGAGTCTTGTGGATGCCGAAAATTTCACTGGAGATACCAAGACGTGTACTCTAGCAGATGGCAGTAAGCTGAATGTTGATACAGCGAACGTTGTCGTTGATACCCCTTACTATCAAGGACCTGTTTTGGCTTGGTGTATGGATACACCCATTTATGACCTCATATTGGGAAACATACAAGATGTTAGATCTCCTGATGGCCCTTGTCTGGAATGGAATCTTGAGGAACAGGTAAGTGCAGTACAGACGAGAGCACAAAAGAAGGCAGAGGAGAAGCCGTATAGACCACTGAAAGTTCCAAAGGTGTTTCAGGAAATAGATCCGGAAGATTTCAAGGATGCCCAGAAGTCAGATGAAAGTATGGCCAAGATTCGTGAGATGGCGGTATCTGGAGATGTTAAGGAAAGACGTGACGGTGGGAAATCACATTTTTTCACTCGGAATAGTTTGGTGTATAGAGAGTACAACAGTCCATCTTCACTGCAAGGACGGATTTTCAAGCAATTGGTTGTTCCCTCGAAGTACCGACAGAAGGTTATGAGACTTGCTCATGATTCTATGATGGCAGGCCATTTAGGAGCAAAGCGAACCAGTGACAAGATCATGGCAGAATTCTATTGGCCGGGGTTACTCTCAGACGTGACGAGGTATTGTCTTTCTTGTGACGCGTGCCAAAGGACTTTTCCGAAAGGCCGGGTAACAAAAGTACCACTTGGAATGATGCCGCTTATTGATGTCAGCTGCCGTTGATATAGTCGGACCGTTGCAACCCGCTACTGATCGAGGAAACAGGTACATACTCACGATTGTTGACTATGCCACACGATATCCTGAGGCGATACCATTGAAAGGAATAGAAACGGAACGGGTGGCGGAGGCTTTGGTAGATGTGTACAGCCGTGTTGGTGTTCCAAAAGAAGTGTTAACCGACCAAGGAAGCCAGTTCACATCATCAATTATGCGAGAGGTTAGTAGGCTTCTTTCCATACGCCAGCTCACAACAACTCCTTATCACCCCATGTGCAATGGCCTTGTTGAGCGTTACAACGGAACTCTGAAAATGATGTGCTCTGAGAGACCAAGGGACTGGGATAAGTATTTAAATGCATTGTTGTTTTCATACCGGGAGGTTCCACAGGAAAGTTTGGGTTTTTCACCCTTTGAGCTGTTATATGGACGAGTTGTACGTGGACCTTTGATGATTCTACGTGAATTGTGTGAGAAGGAAGTTGCAGACCCAGATGTAAAGAGTACTTACCGGTATGTTCTTGATCTACGCGAACGTCTTGAAGAAACCTGCAAGTTAGCTCAAGAACAGCTTCGGAGGGCGAAGGTCACACAGGCGAAGTTTTACAACAGGAAGGCGAAGAACATAGTGATGGAACCGGGTGAGGAAGTACTGGTATTGTTACCTACGAAACGGAACAAGCTTCAGATGCAGTGGCGGGGGCCTTATGGCATCGTTGAACGTAAGGGGTCAATGGATTATGAGGTGTCTGTCGATGGCAGACGGAAAGTTTTCCATGCAAATTTGTTGCGTCGATACGTTCAACGGGAAGGTACAGGATCGAGTGAAGCTGGTGTATTGAACAATGTTTGTTCATCTGTTGTGGAGAAAGATTCTGGTGATCTTGAGGAAAAAGTACCAAGTACTGAGTGTCTTAATGTTCCGACTCCTGTGAGAATAGAGACTGTAGAGGATGTTCAGGTATCAGAAGAACTGACACCCAAGGAGGTGACAGAAGTGAAATCTTTGCTGGATGAATTTTCAGATGTCCTGTCGGATGTTCCTGGAAGAACTCATTTGCTGGCCCATGAGATTCGAACAACAACCAACGAACCAGTTAGAGCGAAGAACTATCCTATTCCATATAATATGAAGGATACCATTCGTGAGGAAGTGGAGAAGATGTTGAAAATGGGTGTCATTGAGAAATCTGATTCTCCTTATGGGGCACCGGTTGTTATTGTCAGGAAGAAAGATGGCACGAACCGGTTTTGTATTGATTACAGACAGCTCAACCGGGTAACCATCTTTGATGCTGAACCGATGCCGAATGCGGACGATATATTTTCGCGACTGTCTGGAAACACCTACTTCTCCCGCCTAGACCTCAACAAAGGATATTGGCAGGTGCCAATGGAGGAAACATCGAAGCAGAAAACAGCATTTACGACGCCTGTGGGTTTGTTTCAGTTTTCTGTCATGCCATTTGGTTTGGTAAACGCACCAGCTACCTTCTGCCGCCTGATGAGGATTCTGTTAGAGGGCATGAAGAACATAGAAAGCTTTATTGATGACATCTTGATCTACACCAAGACTTGGGAGGAACATCTTGCAATACTCCGTGATTTGTTTGAAAGGCTGAGGAAAGCAATAATCACAGTGAGACCTACCAAGTGTGCGTTAGGATTCAAAAGTTTGGACTGTTTGGGGCGTTATTGGGCAGCAGCTTTTGCAACCAAATCCAGATAAGGTTAAAGCTATCCTGGAAGCAGAGATTCCCAAGACCAAGAAACAAGTGCGATCCTTTATTGGCTTGGCAGACTTCTACAGGAAATGTGTGCCCAATTTTGCTACTATTGCAACACCCCTAACAGATCTCACTAGGAAAGGTCAGCCAAATTCTGTTATCTGGAGGGAACCACAGGATCTAGCCTTCAACACACTGAAGAAAGTCTTGTCTACAAGTCCTGTTCTGAAACTTCCTGACTTGAACTCCGAATTTATCCTGAGAACTGATGCTTCAGATTATGGCATTGGGGCCATTCTGTTGCAAGAGGACGATGGAGTTGTCCATCCGGTTGCGTATGTGAGCAGAAAGCTCAAAGATGGTGAATTGTCGTATTCTGTGGTTGAGAAAGAGTGTCTTGCGGTTGTGTGGGGAATTTCAAAATTCCAGAAATACCTTTACGGTCGTCAGTTTGTTCTGGAAACGGACCATCAACCGTTGGTGTATCTCAACAAATCCAAAGGGACAAATGCACGCTTGATGAGATGGGCGTTGCAGCTTTAGCCACATCGGTTCCGGATACAGGCTATCAAGGGATCCGACAATGTTGGAGCAGACTTTCTGAGTAGAGTGTAGACTTTGTACTCTCATGGTTGTGATGTAGTTAGAGAAATAATAGTATGGTTATTTCTTGAAGCTGGGGCGTATGTCCCAGTCCCAACCATAATTTTGTACATTTTATCTGTTTATATGTATGAAATAATATCCCAGTTATTCTGAACATTTCGTGCATGTATTTAATGAAATAATTTTGATAATATCTAAACTAAATACTGTCTATCTGTTTTTCTTAATAATTCCACGTAAAAGATTTAATTACGGATTCTCCGGATCCGAGTTCTTTATATTTGAATTTAGTCTCGTGAGAAAGGAAATGTACATGTAAGCGAGAGCAGCGGTGTAGATTTCGGCAGGTCGATAATTGCTCGTATGGGGTAAGCCAGCGCAAAATACAGTTTGTAAACCTTCATAACACCCTTATATTCCAATGTTTACCCGGAATCTGTTGTGTTTGGTATTTGGGCCGAATATTAAGAGATACATGTATATGCTTATAACAGCCGATGAGTACAGTTCAAAATATATATGTTATGGGTATAGAATAACTAATTTTTGTGAATTGGATTATGTATTTAGTTATTATAAGCAGAAATAGTCAGTTTATTTATCAGAAACTTGACATTAAGACTAGAATTTCCTAATGGAATTATATCAGTTAATCAGCTACACAGCTACACAGAAATTACAAATTATTCAAGAACTAGGAAGTGTTACAATAAAGCAGACTATGAAAAAATAAATGAAGACATAGCAAACGTGACATGGATGGAAGTGTTAAAACCACAGAATGGAATTCAGAAAAACTGGGAGATTTTCCACGGCAAAATAAAAGAAATTGAAGATAAACTAGTTCCAACAGCTCGAATCAACTCAGCCAAAAAAAACAGGAGAGAAATTTCCTTAGATAAAGAGACTATTGAATTGATAAAACAGAAAAACAGATTAGCGAAAAAAGTGGTGAAAAATAATAACCCAGAAAACCAAAAACAATACAGGAGAGTTCGAAACAAAGTAAGAAAAAAAAACAAGAATGAAAAGGAAAGAATATGAGAAAAACTTGTCTCAGCGTGCAAAAAGCAACCCGAAGGAAATTTGGAAATACATAAAATCAAAAGGGAAAGTAAAAGACGGAGTTGGAGACTTGTACACAGACTATAAGGACAATTCATCCCCCCTAACGGATGACGATTTAGAAAAATCAGAAATCCTAGCAAATTTTTTCCAAAGTGTGTTTGTAAAAGAAAAGGAAGGAGAGACACCCACCCTAAATGACAAGATTATCAACCATGAAATGCAACACTTAGAAATAAAACATGAAGATGTGGAGTCCAAACTAGGGAAACTAAAGACAGAAAAATCCCCTGGGTTAGATGAAATGCATCCAAGGTTTTTGAAGGAAACATCATCATCAATAAGTAAGCCTCTAGAAATATTGTTTAACCAATCCATAGAAGAAAAAACCCTACCAAAGGAATGGAAGCAGGCACAGATTAGTGCAATATATAAGAAAGGAGATAAGCGCCAAGCAGGCAATTATAGACCAGTGAGCCTTATCTCGATTGTGTGCGAAACAATGGAATCTATAGTGCGAGACCATATAATAGACCACATGATGAAAAACAACCTCTTCTCAGATAAGCAGTATGGTTTTATATCGGGCAGGTCTACTACTCTTCAGTTATTGGAAGTGTTAGAAAAATGGACATATGCAATGGACAAAGGGGATCCCATCGACTGCATTTATATGGACTACCAGAAGGCCTTCGACACCGTGCCACACAAAAGATTAATTAGTAAAATGAAGTCATACGGTTTAAGCAGTGAAGTGATCGCATGGACTGAAGACTTTCTAAATGAAAGGAAACAAAGAGTATCAATAAACGGAGTGCATTCGAGATGGACAGAAGTAACATCAGGCATCCCACAGGGGTCAGTACTTGGGCCAGTTCTATTTGTATTATTTATTAATGACTTACCAGATATTGTTAACTCTGAAATATACCTCTTTGCGGATGATACTAAAATTTTTAGAATGATAATGACAGAAGATGATTACAGAATACTCCAAGAGGACCTGGATGCCATGTATGAATGGAGCAATACTTGGCTTCTAAAATTCCATCCAGACAAATGTAAGCACATGAACATAAGAAAGAAAACTCAGACACCAGAGCAAAGATACCAAATCAATAATAAGACATTAGATATAGTGGACAAGGAGAAAGATATCGGCGTAACAATTGACAGTAATCTAACATTTGAAGTTCATATCTGTGAAAAGATAAAGAAAGCGAATTCCATGTTTGCAATAATAAGGAGATCATTCCAACATCTAGATCCAGAAATATTCACCCCACTTTATAAGAGTCTGGTGCGGACCCACCTTGACTTTGCCAGTCCAATTTGGTCTCCTTATAAAATAAAATTTATTGAAAAAATAGAAGAAGTGCAAAGAAGAGCAACAAAACAGATCCCTTGTATGAAAGGTCTAAGCTATGCAGAGAGACTTCGTCAGCTGAAACTTACAACACTAGCATATAGAAGGATCCGAGGGGACATGTTAGAAATATATAAGATACTCCACGAGCATTATGACCCAAGGGCAAGCAATGTGATTAAACTTTGGAAGGATGTAACAGAAAGGCAAGGACAAAGGGGCAACTCGATTAAAATATACCCTCAACACAGCAGTTCAGAAATACGGAAAAACTACTTCACACTTCGAGCAGGAAAGATATGGAATAACCTACCTGAAGAAATTGTGACAGCGCCATCGAAAAATACATTTAAAAACAGACTGGATAAATACTGGAAAGATCAAGAACTATTATATGACAATTACAAAGCGGATATAAAAATGATAGGAAGTGGCGAAACAAACCTTAAATGGGACGAGGAAAAGGAGTCTGGTGATGATACTACTGGTACAGAGATGGTACATGTTTGTGTCCTATGTGGGCCAAGATAGCTGTTGCTAACGTACTGTGTGGGCAAGGCAGTGTAGCCTGATACCATGTCCTGTGTGGGCAATCCTGTAAACATATGAAGTCTGGTGTGGACTGTTGCGGTATACAGTCTGGAGGTAGACAGACCTATCTACTGTATATGCTGTCCTGTGTGGACAATTATAAAGATGTCCTGTGTGGGCAGTCCTAAGATGTCCTGTGTGAACCATTATGAAGATATCCTGTGTGGGCAGTCATGAGATGTCCCGTGTGGACAATTATTGAGATGTCCTTTGTGGACAGTACTTGGTGCGTCATTGGATCTGTTAGCAGGGAGGACATTTGTTCAATCCGGTGAACATTTGCTGACTGATGTAACGTTTTATAAGCAGGTCATCCAGAGACGTTTTTCAGAGTCTTTACCAGAGACATGTATAGATGCTTGGCTGTATAGACTTTAATATATATTGCTATAATTATAGTGTAAGTGTGGTTATGAGTGAGGGAGTGAAGTGTGCTGAATTAGGGTAGGAGATATATCTTGTTATGTGTATATAGTGTAATAAACTTGTATATATTATATTTTGGTTGTTTTAGCCATTCTTTGCGAGTCGCGCTCGTCCAGGTTACAAAGTGAAAATGGATAAGGACAGCGCGGATTGAGTGGTTGAAGTGAAAGTGGATAAGGACAGCGCGGATTGAGTGATTGAAGTAGATAAGGAAGGGGATCTGATAGAGTGAACAAGAGAACCTGAATTTAACTGTACATTTGACCAAAATGAAAACAATATAAAAATATGTGGTCTGCTTTGTCTCTGACTTTGTCTTTGCATTTATTCTACTTCATCGAGGTCTATCATCTCTGTTTGATATTTTAAAGAATCTCGGGATTTTATGTCATGTTTGAAAGTTAAGTGTCTGATATTAATGAGAAAGAATGTGAACGTTTGTAAAATTAAAAACATATTCAAGTTAAACGAACTGAATATCAGAGGCGTTCCATTTTGGGTACCCCTATTGTCGAAACACAATGAACCTGACATGCCATGCTGCTTTCTATTTGTAAACTGTGCACTGCTACCAAAACATGTAGTGAAAGCTGAAGAAATCTATTTTTGAAATGTCAAAAACAAAATACAGAATTCAAAAACCCGATATTTTTTTTTTATCTTCAGAAAGTATTCCATTGTGTTGCATCACATTAGGTCATAGACAACCATACATTTTCACACCAAAAGTACCTTGACACATTAACATCTGTTAAGGTAGGTTTGCCCGAATCTGAAATCCTTTGGATTTTCACAAGATGTTTGGTTTCTGCTGGGATTTAAAAGAAATTGTATCGTTAAAACTGTAACTAAAATTGAATGGAAACCAGTTATTGTTTTATATTTAAGTAGAGAAAGTTACTAACTTAATAATAATATATTAGTAAAAGACTCGAGTTAGCCCGTAAGACGATCTTTTGGAAGCGAGGTTATGTGTGTGTGTAAATATCTTTAAATCATCATCATCGATTTTCATGTTGATAGTCATTATACGTCTTACAATTTGGTTTTGTCTTCATCTACACTGTTTACTTGTTGTATTTGAAATATTGTTTTCCTTTATAACATATCATGTATTATGACAACATTACTTCAGGAAACTGTATGAATGTATATATATATACAGATAGATTTGTATAAATCCTATTGAATACAAAGGGTACACTAATATATGTGAAGTTTTTGTATATTCGAAATAAACTTCAGATATGACAATTAAACTTTGTTCTCCGCATGACGAGTAATGCATTATATGGTGAAAGAGCGTTTTACAAGGACAGAAGCAGAGACGTTAAGAACGAAGACCACCCAGGTGGTGGGAGAGGGGCGGAAAGGGGTTGGCGTGAGCGGAAGAGTGGGCGAGTGGGCTGTATCGAAAAGTACAGGTGAAGAAACAACATGATATCTATCGTTTACGTCTCGATGATACGTCTGGTATTTAAGCTTGTGATCTGATGGCGTCTGCCCTACGTTGTCTGCTTTCATATGATAATACATACCAAGCAAAACATGTTACAGTAGAAAGCGTGTAAAATGTATTTATTTTATCTACCTCTGTGTTTTCTATTTCTAAATGTGGATTTTAGGCGAGTCGGGTTTGGGGATTGGATGTCTTGAGCAGACGAACGTCAAACAGTATCACGCGGAAGCAGTATGTGTTTTGAGATTTAAAACGTATACGACTTTGTTCACAGATAATCTGGCTTGCATGTCTTTAGTGGTTAACAGCTTCGTGGCTCGCGCTGTTAGACGCGTTAAATACCTTGTTTGGTGTATAAGAGTTTAAAATTTATATAAACTGCTAATTTACAGCGTACGGGGAAAAACATTTCTGGTCTGTACAGTAAATTATATCACTCCTTAGATGATCATTTGATCAATTGAAACAAACATTTAGCTCGACATTTGCATACACATTTACTTCAGATTACTTTTCGTAATGTCAGTTTGATACTGTATTGTTTGTTTCATTCCAGGGTTTAATTTCGCTATGTTTACGGTTATTACTTATAGCGCGAAATGGAAAACTCAGCCAACATTTCAGAGTGAACATCAAAATGAAAAAGTATATTCTATACAAAGATACCAGGTACAGTTTCTAGACTAGCGCGAAACTTAACATCCATGAACAAACTGAAATCGGGACAAAAGTAAAACATCAGAAAATACCGACTTATTATAATTCAAAATGAAATTCAATAAAACTAGGCCAAAATATGAGCAAAGGGAAGATTTACACGGAGATTCTGGAAAAGTGAATAAGACCAAGTGTTCTGGAAGAGTAAGCATCGTCTGCTTCATCGCCGACACTACCATGTAAATTTTGGTCAATTCAATAAGAAATGACAAGTAGACAGCAACGGATGCAACAGGCAAACTAACGAGTTTCATTTCACACAAAGAAATGCGATATTTCTCGATGAGATCACTATGGCGACTATAAAACTTCCACATAATTTCCATCAACCTATATCTTTTGAAACCCTGTGCAAATTTGTGATTCAAGTACGGATTTCTAATTCCGCCTCGAAATTATCCTCTCCGCCCTGCTTGATTAAAGATTTTTACCATAAGCTTCTCGCCGATTTAGAACAAATTCGCCGTCCCGTTCCTTTTCCGAATCGTCTCTATCGCACGTCGGCATGAATGCTAATGTACTTAAGTGTTCTCTCAAAATGTGGCGATCGCCAAAGCCCTTGCTCGAAACCGGTATCAAAAGGAGATAACTATTAATTTTCATGTCTTGTGCTATTTGTTCATCAGTATTTTAAAATTAAATGAAACATACTAACCTCTATCAACCCTAAATATCCAGTTATACTACCAGTTTAAGAGGCACATGGAAAGAGCTTCAAGTAGCACACATTTTAGGTATTTCTTTATCATTGATCTGTTAAGCTTATCCATGTATGTTTTGTATACTAATCGTTTGTTTCACCGTGTACTCTTCTCGATTTGGGCGACGTTGTTTACGTCAACTTGCTAGTAATAATGTCATGTAAATACATTATTTAGCTTATTATGCTATCCCATTATTAAGTTTTGAATGTCTTGTCGTTTGGTGATTGGTTGGCGCACTGGTAAAGAACATCCTTTGGACTATGGCGAACGTGGATGGGATTCGACTTCCTAATCGGATGTAAAATCATTTAGGGTCACTTACTCAACGGCGACGGTTTTGCATAGTACTGCTGTTTTGCTTTCACATGTAAGATCGTTCTTACATTTTTATCCGCCCGTAAACAAGAGCTCCTGATAAGAATGAATATCATTTAATAGGGCTTAAATAAGGACGGTTGTTTCTGAGGTGCTTGTGAAGAAGGTACAATCCTACTGTAGCACAGTTCCTCACAAGATTTTGCTCCACTTCAAGAAAAACATGCAAATGATACTGCTACTCCCAACAGCTAAGGTTTACTTGTTTGTTTATTGCTTAGAGAATGCCTTAATAGCTAGTTATTTGTCATTTAAGAAGTGCATGTGTTGAGGCTGTGGTATATTTTTGTAAGCCTATTTGTGATGCAGTGAGTAGTAAGGAAGTGATGCCGACTTTATAGTCTTACCACACTGCAATAGACTACCAAAGACAACCGATACTCGTGTAAAGCGGGCTGTGGAAGGAAATTACTGAAGACAAGGGCGTTGGATGATGTTTATGATCCTGGAGGAGCTAAGAATTCTGTATCTGGAAGGCTCTCAATCGCCAACAGAGCAACTGTTTCATTTTCATTTCATTTTATTTCATTCGGTAGGATTTCAAAAAAACCATTCAACCTCTCAAAGGCGAGATTAAGAAGGTAGTCTACAATTTCAGTCTAAACCTCTAAACAAGTTGCACTGGTTCAGTTCCTACCGATGTAACTTTAAAAATAATCTACGTTGAAAATGGTCCCGGGGTCAACGCTGCTGATTATTGATATCACTACTTTAGTATGCATGTAGATTATCGTCAAATAGACAGCGACCTCACTAGACATCATTCAATCTAAATTTCAAAAAGTCTCGCTGATTTCTATGAAAATCAGACGTACCTGAGGGCGAGATGAATAAGACCTAGGTAATAGCAAATGTAGATTTACTTTGTTAGTTTAATATCATCCATGTTCCGTCCTAAAACAATTATTATTGTTGCTATTCTGCGATAATTATTAGATTGATCCTTCTAAAACGTTTATATGTAGGTTACCCGTGATGCTTTATTACATCCGCTCAATTTTAAATCCGGAAGTTAAACTTTGTTTTAGCTTTTTATTGAGGAGTTCTGTATGGGGATTTCTCACAGTTCAAATAAGTTTCTTCTGGTCTCTGTTGGTGCTCGCCCTTATTCGAGACTGAGAAGAAAAATAAAGAGGCCGAAACGCGGCGATCTTAAAATATGAAAATTGGTCGCTATTTCTTGAAGAGTACTTGCTGAATCTTTTTCAATTTCTGATGTAGAGTTCCCTTTGTCCAAGTGTTTGAGATTGATCTAAAAAGTAAAATAGTTAAAAGGCGGCCATCTTGGATTCTAAAAATATATTTCGTTTTCGCTATTTAATTTTACAGAATTAAAAAAACATGAATACCTCATTAAAAGAAGATAAATTTCATGATAAGTAATGTTCCTTATGTGTGAAATGCTACATTAATTCTTTTAACCAGACTGTGTTGTTACCGGACTGTGTCAGGCAATACCGGGCAGCACCGGGCAGTCCCAAGCGGTACCGGACTGTAATTAGTATCCCCGGAATCTGTCCGATTTTCCGAAAATTGTCTCTGTCTTACTTAGAGTCGTCCACAACTGATTCGTGTTATAAATTATCCAACTCCTATGCCCAGACAGATTCCTGTTGAATACTCTTTACTGTGGAGTGTTACCATTTTCTTTCTTTCACTTTCACGTGTTTGCTATCGTTTTTCAAGTCTGCGTCATAGAAAAGCTTACAGCGTTACCATACATCACCTTATCGATTCAAACGACTACATGACCATAAGTTGAATCCGCCATAACATCAACGAGTCATAAATTCTGGAAATCTATCACTGTACTAGATGCGTCGTAATAGAGAAAGGATCACACCAAATTGGGATGTCAACTTCACGAAGCAATGATATTGTTGTGCGTCTTAAAAATACATCAAAAGGACGAATTATTTACGAGAGAAGTCGACATGTGACAAAGGTAAAGTACATACATGGCATTTTAGACTTTAGTGTTAGTTCAAAGTTTAAACAATATTTCAATAATTCTATATTATCACACAGAAAAATATTACATGCGGCTTGAAGTTTTAGGTTTTAGATTCCTAATTTGAAATTGAGAAAAAAAATTGATCAGCAGTTACATGTACATTTGGACATAAGTATAATTCGCTTTCGGTGAATATTGTGAGTGATATTAAAACCAGGGACGTAGATAACTGTTATCCACGTCCCTGATTAAAACATAACAAAGCTAGCTGTAATTCATATTTATTTACAATAATGTTACAAAGAGTATAGACAGTCCCATCTGCTACGTGTCCTTGTGTAAGATTAATCTTTTAGCATTACTAGTTTACATTTTTATATACATATGATTATTGAATTGTGAGAACAGCTGGAATCTGAAGCAAGTAAAGCTGTGCAATGTTTTACAGAAATTCCTTGATGAATGTTCTTCTCCACCTGAGTTGTCTTGTCTCCATGACGAGTCTAAATACAGATATGTGAATCCAAATTATCTGCACCAAAACCAACAACATCTTAGGGAGAAGAGGGATGAAGAAAAAGAGGAGAAGAATGAAGAATCCTCTGATTAGTGAGTTTTATCATGTACTAGATTATATTCAATATACCTAGGACTTGCATATTCTAAGTACATGATTATACCAAAGAAGTTGAAGTCACCAGACTAACCTTGACTAGAGATTGAAGGGTTGTTAGTTCAAACCTATGCAGGGGCAGGGTTTTTTTCACTTCAGTTTCCAGTGCCATTGACCATTCCAGGGCTAGAAGCTATAGGAGATTGACTAGTTTCCTTGAAGCTAAAGAACCTGGGTAATTGTTGTCTTTTTGTCTGATGACTTTGTGAAGGATGGAGTAGTGTAGAAGTTGAGAGAGCAGGTCACCCTACTAGACTCAGCTTGTGGGAATTTCCCTTTAATGGAGCAGTAGTGTGTCGGGCGATAAAGACTTTAAAGTGTCATTAGTCTTAACCCAAACGAGGACAGGATATTTTTTATTACTCCTTTTTATTACAGAATATGTGTAATCCATTGCTCTTAAGATAGAACTGAAGGAAATGTCCATGTAAAGAAGTCAAAAGAAGTAAAATATAAACATAGATACACAGATTTTCCATTCTGGCATTGTACTTGGAATGTGCTATTAAGATACCTCATTCTGGTGTCTTTCATTTGCAACCATGCTTAATTGTGTGCGAAGTGAATGGCAAGCACTTTCTAAGAACACCTAGTGGGAGAACTGAAACCTTTAATCTACTTGAACTAAAGGGAACATATATCTGATATAGACTTATGAAAGAACCCCACTATGTAGCTGATTATAGTATTAAGTGTTGGCACTGTCCACTAATTTTAACACGTTTACTTGTTTATCATTAAATCTTAGCTGTAGTGAAGAGTTGGCATTGCAACATGTGGAGGAACTGCAGACCTCACCACGGAAACCTGCCATATTTGTGTCCCCTGACTTTGCAAGGAGTGTAAAGTCTATTAAGGAGTATGAACACTTGGGTGACAACAAGGTCAAGGTCAGTCTATATAATAATATAACAACAGAAACACCCACAGTCTGTGAATGAAATATTATGTACACCTGGAATTTTTTTTACACTGAATTCTAAATACTTGTTTGACAATACAGTAAAGGCCATTCTAATTTGAAGCCATACATAAATGAGCATGCACAATATATGTTTACATCATATTAAGGGTTAAGGGTCAAGGTCATTTAATTTGTTGCCATGGACAACTGAACATATTTGTTATAACAGAGTCAAGGTCAATATGATTTGTAGTGATGAAAAACTGTGTAAATATATTGTTACAATTCGGGTGTAGAAGAGTGTATATTTGTTTTACTTGTTGTGTATTTTGCAAATAGAGACCAAATCATTTGAGATTTTCTTCACTAATATAAACCAGTTTCTGCTCTGTAATAACTATATTCATTACCATGGGAACATTTTTTTTCCAGGATGCATTAGCGAAAAAGGCTAATGAATTTCAAACCCACAGTGATCAGCTACACCAGAAGACACATAAACAGTTGAAGGATCTGGAACGTAAAAATATCTTAAGAGCTCTTGAAGTGCAAGAGACCACACTTACGCAGCACAGAAAAGGGTATTTTTTTTATACATCTTATTTGATGAATAAGCTATGCTTTAAGTTTACTGTTATAAATGTTGATGCAAGGAAGGGATATACATTCGCTAACTTATGACAACCTCCCCACTACACACTTCAAAGATTTCTTGTTAACAGTATCATCTAGACATCGGTTCTGGTCCGTTATGTATTTCGTAATGGCCATTTTGTTGTGGTGTATCACATGCACTATTGACCTTCATAACCTTGCAAAAGGATAATTTTCGTTGCTGTAACATGTCACACTTCGACAAAAGAATGAAAAATAGTAATTAAAACCATTCACTATAAAATATTTCATTGGCAAATTTGTGTATTTTTTCTTAATACACATTTTCACATGTCAAACACACTCTCAGATAGGATAAAAAAAACTAATCAATCCATCCACTGATGCCAGGATTTTTTTGTTGCCTGCCAAGTGAATAAAAACAAAAATAAAATTTCAAAAAACCAGGACAATTGTACTTGATTTTTTAGCCCACCATCCGATGGTCAAATTGCCCTATGTAGTCCGTCCTTCCCTCCGTCCTTTCGTAAACATTTTTTGTTATCTCTTTTTCTTGAGAAGAACTGGATAGATCTCTCAGATTTCCTATGTAGGTACCCCTTGGTCTACTTGTATCCATTAAATTTTGGGATTGATTAAAAAACAAAATGGCCGACAGGTTGCCATCTTTGATTTTGACTTTGAAAGATTGTTATTATTATTTCTTAAGAACTAGTGCATAGATCTTTTTCAAATTTCATGTGTATGTTTCCCTTGACCCTTATTTGTGCATGTTTGATTTTGGTACTGATCAGAAAAAGAAAATGACCTACAGGCAGCCATAATTGATTTTGATATTAAAAGAAGCTATTTATCACCAAAAATTCATCAGCATCATTTAAAGGAAATCTGTTTTACTGTTCATATACGCTAACAGAATTAGTATTCTAGTTGGACGAGAGAATGTATTTGTAAACATATATACATGTATACAGATTACTGTCATGTATATGAACCTATTGTCCTCTTGATCAGGAGAGATGAATCTGCTAAAGTATACCTGAAGATGCAAGAAGACCACAGGAAACATGCACAGGTGAGTTTTATTAGTTGAAAATGATTTTCTGTGTACAGACCCTTCAACAGCATATGTACATTGTAGAATACATATGTATATTCAAAAGTTTCAAAAATAATGTAAAAATCCTGTTGAAAAATAAAAACAACTAGCTACAATTATTTAATGAAATATAATTGAACTATTGGAACTGATTTTGAACTTATAACAGTTTTTTTTTTTTATTTCAGATGTTAGAAAGAAAACATGATAAGATTCAAGATGAAATCAGGAAAAAGTAAGTGGCACAGTACATCACTACAAATATAGTATAATTCTGCACTAGAAACACATAAGCTATTTCTTGCAACAAGTATGTCTGTATGATATCGCTTTCTAATTATATCCAAGGTATAATTTATACTGATTACAACTTGATTATAACTTTTAAATTATGATATTTGACTTCAAACTGTAACTTGATTTAATTTTGAGTAATTAATTCTTTAAATCCATTTCATTATCAGAAAAATATTACTAGACACTGATACATTTATCAAAGGTAAAAACTATAAAGTTGAAAATAGTTGTTCAAACATTGATTAAAATGATATGATCTATTGTCAGAATGGCTCCATAATCATAATGGCAATTATTTGGACAATGCCATATTATTTCTTGAAAAGTGTTCTTCATTGGAGCCATTCTTATTTCCACATATGTCCATTTTTTGTTCAGGACAAACTATGGATCATGTTCCACTCACTTAATGTCTTGCTATCGACCTGAACATGCAAGAATAATATTTCAAAATGCTTCAAAGTTTCAGTTTGAATTATCTTCCCTTTACAACTCTTACATGAAGGTGATTTGTGATTTGGTTTGCTCCTTATTATCAGTTATTAAAGAGGATACAATGGAGATTGCCTTTCAACTGTGTCAGGAAGATTTGCTTTTTGCAGAGATGAATTTGACAAGTTTTGGAAGAGTTATTAAGAGCCAATGCCCTTTCTCCAACTCTGTAAACTTTTAAAATCTTACCCCTCACTTACAACGCACCTTGTCAACCTTGTTACCATTAATAATGGAAATAACTGATTTTGGCCATATTTCCTATACCATATGATCTAGTATTACCACAGTTGTACCATAGGTGCACTGTGGATTTGCAGTTTATCAGAATGTAGTGAAATTTGGAAGCTTTGACCTGAAACTGAACTTTTGACATGAAATAATTCAAGCCATATTTCCTTTCCTATCTGCTTTACAGAGAACAGGAAAAGAAAGAGAGAGAAGAGAAAGTGAAGCAGTTGTTTACAGACCTTAAAACTATCCAGAGTCGGATACTTGTCATTCAGCCCAACTGTGCCATACAAAACAAACTGGCAGACCAGTGTAAAATGATAGTTGAAAGAATCCGTAAGACAGCCTCAGATCTGGAAAACCACATCATCCATGAGACACAGTCAGGGGAGATAAACCAAAGTCTTCCTGACAAACTTAAAGAAGCTGTCAAGTTTGCACTAAATGCTTATGAAGCCATAACAAAGAGAATAGGTAATTGATAGTGATTTATATCCTCTCCTCTCAGTGGTGAGGTGTGACATCTCCCCTCAATATTGAGTTGTGACATTTACCCATAATAGTGAGATGTGACATCTCCCCTCAATATTGAGGTGAGACATTTACCCATAATAGCGAGTTGTGACATCTCCCCTCAATATTGAGGTGTGACATTTCCCCTCAGTTGTGCAGTGTGACATTTTCCCCCCCAATTGTGCAGTGTGACAACTCCCCTCAGTTGTGCAGTGCGACATCTCCCCTCAGTTGTGCAGTGTGACATCTCTCCCCAATTGTGCAGTGTTACATCTCCCCTAAATTGTTAAGTGTGACATTTCCTCTTAGTTGTGCAGTGTGACACTTCCCCTCAGTTGTGCAGTGTGACACTTCCCCTCAGTTGTGCAGTGCGACACTTCCCCTCAGTTGTGCAGTGCGACACTTCCCCTCAGTTGTGCAGTGCGACATCTCCCCTCAATTATTCAGTGCGACATCTCCCCTTAGTTGTGCAGTGCGACATCTCCCCTCAATTGTGCAGTGCGACATCTCCCCCCAGTTGTGCAGTGCAACATCTCCCCTCAGTTGTGCAGTGCGACATCTCCCCCCAATTGTTCAGTGCAACATCTCCCCTCAATTGTGCAGTGTGACATCTCCCCTCAATATTCAGGTGTGCCATCTCCCCACATTTGTGAGGTGTGATATGCCCTCATACTGAGACCTGATGTCTTTCTTCTATAATGAGGCATCACATTTCTACTCTGTAATCAGGTATGATGTCTCCCATCAATAAAGTGGTGTGATATCTCTCCTCATAACTTGATTCATATTTTAATGTCAGAGCAATACTTAGAGACACACCACCACACTATCACAACTTTGATGCAAGCCAGATACAAATATCTATCACCATGAAAGAGGAAGGACTAAATGTTCCGATTAAATTTTTACTTGTTATTTAAAATTTGTTACTCATGTTGAAATGTATTTCTTAGTCTTCTTACAATACACTTCACTCAGAAAAAGGGTTTGATGTATTGAAAGTACAAAAACATATCAACTAATGATGATTTAAATCTTTTTACAGAGGAAGAAAAACAAAAGTTGGAGGAGGAGAAAGCAAAGGCAGCAGCAGCAGCAGCTGAAGCTAAAAGACAAGAGGAACAGGTATTAGTAGTATAACAATAAACACATGAGATATTGGGGGGGGGGGGTGCGCTGGCTGAGAGGTTAAGGCTCTGAGCATTATGGGTTTGAGGCCTACACGGGGCAGTCGCCAGGTACTGGTAGCAGGTCCATGGTTTTTTCTTTGGAAACTTTTAACTTCTTGTCACCAACCGTGCCACTTGCTGTAAAGTAACAATATATTAAATGTGAGGGTCTTCTTAAAAAGACACGGAAGCAAGGAACAATTTCAACTCTTAGTTTTTTGTTTCAAGGTAAGATATTCTGAAGAATTTAACAGAAAGATGGCTGTCAGTATAGAATAAGGGAATAAAGATAAGATAATGTAGTGAGCAGTACAATAATCATAGATAAACAAGGATGTAGAAATTTGTCTGGACTGTTATTTGTTTTGTATCATTTGAAATTCTATGTGTTGGTTTTCAATCGGTTGTTTCCTTTACTGTGTATGGTCTGTCCTCATTATTATGCCATTTTAAATAAATGTATGACTTTAGGCCAAGGCAGCAGCTGCAGCATCACCCATAGCTACTTCAACTCCTGTATCTTCATCATCAGACAAAAACAAGTCCCCAGGAGCTACAAAGTGTAAGTTCTATGTTCAAGTTTACTGGCATTTTTCTTCAGCATCTTGTATATTGCAAGGGCACATAACAAATTTAATATTTCCTTTTGTTCAAACATCACTGGTTGTGAATCATCGCTCTCGTTGAACTTTGTGTTATTGTTGATGAGAAAATGTTGATATTTCATACACAATAATCTTGCCACATTTTTTCAGTACTATTTTTCCTGTCCACTCAACTAACTTTTGCAGTAAAGTATGAACAGAAATGAATTTTAATGTTCCAGTGGCAGAAGATGAAATTCAATGTGCTGATATAGATGCCTTCGAATGGTATACCAAATTACAGAAAGATATGGGAAAGACAGAGGAACTCATAAAACCACTTTCTAACCCAGAGGTACAGTTTGATATGACCAAATTACCTGGTTACACTCTGTTCTAAATGGCCTCTGGAAACTGCAAGACCTAGCAAAACCTAAAGCTCCCCTTCTTCCAAGCAATGATAAATTGATTCCTTTTTTCCTGTACTGCATACATAATCTTTAGGATTTTCTTTTTTTTTAATTCAGAGTCAGTTAAATTGATTTGAAAAGCAGACATTTTGCTTTAGTGCATTATCCATTCCTATAAACAGACTGAATTGGAAGTTGAAATCAGTCCTATTGGTTTGTTCTCCAAGTCAACACCTTTCTTCAGCGTAAGCCAATGTTTTCATGGAATTCTGTCTGTATAACTTCAGGTCTTGAGACATATCAGCATTAGTTTGTCAAAGGAGTATGATCAATAAGAGAGTAAGAAAACTGCCTCCTTCCCTCCTTTCTTCCCCTGTGTATCTTTTCCTTGTACCTCTCATAAATAACACTGTTTATAATTAATACTGTTTTACAGCATGTCTACTCACATTTACTTTTCTTTCAGTCCAAGAAGTTGAAATTTGACCTGCAGAAGGCTGTCAATACACCTATTAATGCCATTTCTCCAATCAGTGGTGAGCACTTGCGAGAGAAACTGAAGCGTCTACTGGATTTGTTGTCGGGCCAATCTGTTGAAGTAGGGTCAAAACGGGTCAATGTAGGCGATCATCCACAGGGTCTCACATTCTGTAAATACCTGGCTGCAAAGATGATTGTGGTAAGTAATAAATGATTCTATAATGAAGATTTGTAAGTGTTTCTCTATTGTATTATGTTCAGTGTTAAATCACACCTTGCAAATGATTTGTGTTTTATCATAAAAGTGTTTAAACTGAATACAGACAAAACTGATGGAATGATCACCTGTATTTAGCAGATAGCATAAAGGCCAGAAGGCCATAATAATGGTTGTAAAACCGGTTAGATAAGATACCTGTACATCAAGACCACCTGTATGTAATGTTAATCACTTAGACTTCTCAAATTCTTTACCGGGGATTAACCATTATATTATAGCACACTTGCTTGACCGACAACATCTGATCTATAGCTGTAAATTTGAATGATGCCTTTGTTGAAGTTCTACAGTCGGCATAATGAGATGTCATTTAAATGTACAGATGTCTAAAGATGTTTGAATTTGGAAGTAATATATGTCAAGCTGATTTGTAAATTCAATGGAAGTGTCTTTAAAGGCAAGTTAATGATGGAATAACAAGGATGTCATCATCATAATCATGAAAGATTTGAATTTGCGATTGGCTTTTCTCGCGTATCAATGAAAAAAAATTCTTATGTGAACTGTAAGTTATTTAATGTAACAGATACCTTTATATAAAGGTCACATGAATGTGACAGATACCTTTATATAAAGGTCACATAAATGTAACAGATACCTGTATATAAAGGTCACATAAATGTAACAAATACCTGTAAATAAAGGTTATTGTATATAAAATAACCTTTAGATAAAGGTCACTTATAACACATGTTTAACTGTATCTGAAACAGATATGAATCTTCCAAAGTCAAAATCCTGCACTGGCCAAAACTCAACTTGAAAATTTTCCACTTTAGTGAAGAAAATTATTGCCCTTTTGCCTTTATAGAAAAAAGGAGATGAACAAGTATCATCTAAACATGAGACAGCCTTTGCCACGGCGATGGTATTTGTGGGTCTGTGGATGGAACACCCAGATGTAGGTAACTTGTTCCTGAGTCATCTCCACCGTGCTTGTCCCTACACCGTTCCCTACTACATACCGAGACAGGAGGGCCAGTCCCCAGAGGACCACCGCAAGTATGTATTGTTCCTACCCGCTTCACATCAACAGCTTAACATGCTCTCAATATGATTTTTTTTCTACTGTGGTGTGACATCACATGAGAAATACAGATTGAAAAGATTGCCAAATAAATTTGATATCTGATAAAATGCTATATAAAATCTGATAAAAATTAATTTAAAAAAAAACTCAAAAGTTATATGATGAACAGAATCTTTTATTCTTTTTCATGTTGTATGAGATTTATGAAACTTTATGAATTTTCCTTATAATCCTCTGGTGATGTTTCATAAATCTCTTATGAATGAACATTTTTGTAAGATCCTCCATTTATGAGTACCTGTCCTTCAATTATGAATAAACTTTTCATAACAAAATAAATGAAAATTTTTCACCATTATCTAAAAATATTACTTCTATTAACCAGTAATCTGGATACAAAATTCTTCATAGATTTTAAATTTCATACATTTAAAATTACAAAAAGCAATGTTGTAAAATCAGTGCAAATTTTTCCAGTTACAAGAAAATGAATAATATGATAATGCTATATTTGTGACATGTTGTATTACAGAACATTGGGGTATAGATACAACTCTGACGGCAGTGTGGAGAAACAGGATCAGTTCCTAAAGAGGATGTCAGGAATGATGCGTCTTTATGCTGCCATCATGGTGTCCCCACCCCCTCCTCTGAGGGGAACAAGCAACGTCCACCCTCATGGAGTGGACAATGCCTGGATATGGCTTTGTAGGGTGATGAATATCCATCCACATCCAGACATCACAGCGACAATGATTTACGACATGTTGCATGTGGCGGGGAATGCTCTGTATGCTAAATATGGGAAACAGTTTCAAAAACTTTTATATATGCTAATAAAGGAATATTTACCCAAACTAAAACAGGTGGCTTCATCCTCAGGTGGAGGTCCTCTGACTCGACTAGAAACATTCCTGGAAAATTGCCTGAAGCATAATAGACAGATAATGATACCCAATCCAGAAGGTTTCTTACAAGCAGACTTCTGGCTCTCATCTTGACGTTGGCATCAGATGCAGATTGCTGAAATTCAACAGATATTTGATGATACTGAATACAATGTGACGCCATGAGGCCTTCATCAAGTCAGACTTGTTTATTTTATCTGGCCTCTTCTAACCTGCCATATGTCCCTATAAAAACAGTGCAGGATCCAAACAGAATAATACTACATACTGTATTATCCTCTATTTAGAACCTACATCTGGAAGAGGATGAAAAAATATTGTTCAAAGTTTCTCGATATGTAATGACAGGATCTGATTTACTCTTGATTTTAATCAGGTCTATTAAGATCCTTCTAAATGTGTTGTAAGATGTGATTCAGCTGTAAGTTGGTGATTATGAAGATATTGAAGGATTCAAACTAACATATCATTAATTAACACATTACTTAGGGTGAGTTTTCGATTAATTAAGTTTTGAAATCAAACTACTCTATATTACTCCTTAGAGTAAGTTTATATATATATATTTCTTTTTTAAGCAAAATTTTACAAATGCCAGTTCTATTCATGACCTTGGAATTTTAATATGAGGCTTTTTCTTATCTATAGTTTCTGGACATCGTGTTTATCAGACATGCTGTCATTTACATTCTACAAGTATACAGTTGAAGATTACTGATTTTTATCTAAACATGTCATAAGTTTATAAATCTTGATAACTAGGTCAGCAACTTTTAGTCAAATGAAAATGGGAAGAAAGTAAAAGTGATAATAATTTCCGTTTTCCTGTTACTCATACCTAGAACTTAATTGATATCGGTTGCTGGTTTAGTTGATTTGATCGTCCGTCTAGTCAACATTCAAGGAAATGTCGACATTGTAAGAGATTTTCTAAACTAAACCCCTGGAACAGTGTTGTGTTTCATGATCCAAAATATCTGATCAGTCATTTTGATTGAAATTGACTAGTGGCTCTCTCACTAATCTAAATGATCCAGTGGCTCTCTCACTAATCTAAATGATCCCTTGACATGATGGATTTGAAATTGAACTGGCATAATTTGTCTGATACAAGATTTTATCACTTATTCTTATGGCTGGTCATTGTCTTGATGTCTGCATGATTTTATTTATCAAAAAATACTAAATTATGTCCTGATGAAATTAATTGATGCCAGCAGATAAAATTCTTTCCAAATCATGTATAAATGGTATCAGTCAATGAAGTATTTTCTGAAGTGCTGATTTAGTTTTCACATTGAAAAATATGTAATGTATGTTAATTCAGTAAAAGGTGTTTTATATTTCAGCCTGGAAGATTTTCTGGGTGGCAAGTTTTAGTTTCTAACTAATGTTAACTCAATAATGATATGATGCTTAAGTGTAGCATTTTATGAAATACAAACAATATGATCATCATCAACTTCATCATCATCATCATCATCATTATCACCATCATCATCATCACAACCTATTCATCTGTTGACCATCAAATTTTCCTTAGATGTCGTGTGTATTGTTGATTTGTATTATTTGACTTTGAGCGCCGATATCATTATAAGTCGAATGAATAAATGATGAACAAGTACAAGTGAATTTATGTCATTTTGTTCAGTTTTTAGGCAAATTACCTACCTTCTTTACTTGTTTTGCTGAAAGTCTTCATCATGGATGCCATTAGAGAATTGTTAGTGTATTAGGAAAAATTGTGAGGTCAGTTTTGATTGACTGACAGATGTCTTTCTTCTGTGTTAACAATTGAAAATTGTTATTGCCTTTTATGAAAAAGAAGAAAGATCTTTCAAATATATATATATAATCTCTAAAATCAAACCAGAAAATATTCTCAGGGGCCCCCATTGGTTGTTAAGCTCATCTCTTTACCATCAGGCAGAGTGAAACGAAGGGAAGTAACTCTGGGAGATCAGATTGACTAGAAACTGACAGGCCAGTATTTTTGACAATAACGGATTTTTATCGCTTTTTCAGGAGAGGTACTTTCTCCATTTTCAACTATGGTCTTCCCTTGGTCCTCTCAAGTGTTCATTTATAGGCTGACCGGAAAAGCAAAGTGGCTGTCAGAAAGCCATCTTAAAGTTTGACAATGAAAGTGACAAAATTCATTTGCATGTTACCATTGGTTTCTCGTGACCTTTCAGTTATGAGACAGATCAGTAACAATGGTACTTGAAGGTCGCCTATGATTTTAAGAATGAAAGAGTGCTGCTTCTGTTTCCGTACTAAACGAATATCCTTGGACTTTAAGTCATATGCAGGTTAGTTTTGAGTGCCATGGAAACGAAAAGGACTCACAGATTGTCACCTCGGACGTGCTTGAACTTGTGAACTTTGTACAACCTTCGAGAGATGCTTCTTGAGGAAGACAAGGGAAGCTTTATAATCGCCATCGTCTCTGAATGTCATTTATGATACCTTTATACGAGGGTGTAAAAATGTTTTATACCTCACGCAAAATAAGCTAGCTATTTCCATTTATCCTGCTTTATTTATGAACTTAGTCCCCTTCCTTCACCACACGTATTTCTTCTTGTTTGCCAGTCATTGAAGACAACATCCTTGTCCTTAAACGACGACTTCATTATATACGAAAGCACTCTTGGGACTGCTCTTACACATACCTTGAGCATTTCTAATTTGTCACCAAGTATGCTGTGTATGGATGCATAGGAAACTGAAAGACCTGTTGGTTCTACCTACTCACAGAGAGTAATATGGCGGGTTTCTGTCACTAATAGGCACTCGGTTTTAATGTTTCTCGGCTAATGATATTGGATAACCGTCCTGACTGGGAGTCATTTTTTTAATTGTAGTAATAATCACCAGGTGACAAAGCTCCTTCGACACTTGTCTAGCTGCATAATTTCTGTCAATTTAGGATTTCTATACAATTGCCTCTATTTGTATCATAGTGTCAGCCCTACACATTTACAGGACATTCATCTTTTCACGTATTAATGGAGGTCTGAAATACAAATATATTATGCATTCTTCTGAAACTCTTAAACAATCAATACAAACTGACTAAAACTGTTATTATTTATAATAATTATCATGCAAGGTTCTTAGGTGTCTCAAAAAAGCCCATTCTAATTGAAATTCGATTTCTCATTTTACTGCCTACCTTGTTTTATGAAACAATGCAGCGATATATGAAGAAAGATGAACTATCAGATTTGAATTAGATTGAAAACGGTTAATAGACCATTATTAATGTAAAAGTGACAATTAATTGATACGTGACACGAAATTTCAACGTTTTGATAACTTGTATTGTCATAAAGACTCATTTTTTCAAAATAGTACAAAACACATTTTACAATCCTGTAAGTATATTGATTTGTGTATATTACTTACCAGAATTTGTCATCTGTAGTATATTGATATACGGAAAGAATAACTATTATACCTATATAGTATACCCCTATGGAGGTCCTAACCCTTTGTATAACTACCCTTAATTGATCAGGTTCTTGTATCCGTTGTGGTACAAAAGATATCTTCATTAATAAAAAGTGACAAACAAAAATTCTGCAATGCTGTGTGTTATGGCCACTTTCTTTATAATCCATGACGAATGACTAAGTTTACGTCATTAAACTTTCCTTTCTTTAGTAGTTACCTGCCAGCATGTCCGGTCCGTGACCGCGCCACCTGTTCTATTGTCCCTCTGATGTGTATTTACAATGAATATAATGGCAGAATTATAAATATAAATAGTTTTAATGGTTGCCTTGATATATGGTGAGGCTATAGGACAATGTAAAAATAATCACTCAGTGGTTCGTCTCTTCCTTAAAGGCTAAGGCAACCTTAAAAAAACAAAAACAAAAACAAAACAAACAAACAAAAACAAAAAACAAAAAAACTGTGGTGGTCAGCAATTAACTGATGAGAGAGAGAGTGGGCGGTACTTGTTGGCTTTAGTAAACAGTTCCTGCTGCTGCTTGTCAACACAACCACAGTGGACAAAATGATGCGTCTTCATCATCCGTTGTTTATAATAGTACCGTAATAAACTTTCAGGACATGGACAATATAATCTTTCAACAGCAGATTGGAATAAGACCATAATCTTAAGTGTTACTAGCTATGAACAGAGACGTAGTTTTAACATATATACGTCTCTTCTGTGAATCCCGTTCTCTGGTTTATACTTGTCATGATGTAGGAAGTCTTGTGTGTACAATGCTTCTTCTCTTTGTTGAAGGAAATATTGTTCTCTTGTAAGTGGAAGAGAGGCTATAGTATGATAAGGAAATAAAGTGATACCAAATTTCAACATTTGTTCAGTTCCTTTTGTTTCAAATAGATCTATCGGGCATGCCTATTTCAAATGATAATTCTAGTACCAATTCAATGAATGGCACAGAAGTTCGCCTTTCTGAAAATTCATCATGTTTTCTCAGTATAATATTTACATTGATGATGTTCAAATATAAAAAAGCGATATATCTACTCTGGAATGCATTTATAGGTAACCACAGCAGATTACAAACTATATATATATACATTATATGGTTTAACAAACAACTAAAATCATACAAAATACTTTATAATTTCTATGTATCTAGTACGATAACGGCACAATTATAGCTGCGCTCCTAACATTACATGTTTTATCACTATATACCATATGAAAAATATTAATAACAAATAGGCATAACATTGTACATCGAGTAACAATATAGCAACAATTTTGGAATATCACATCCTTTCAATACATTCACCTGCGTTTCTAATTTTTAAATTCAACATTGTTTGTCATGGCTACGATTTAATCTTACTAAAGTCAGATGTGTATTACCTGCTCATAAACTGCCAAAGACGTAGCAATACTGCAAGTACTGTAATGTTAACACATTGAAGTTGCCTTCCCTTATAAGGATATGAAAATTGAAAGTTAGCACTGTACTGCTTTTAGTTGGTATTTCTGGACAATTGTGGACAACTGTGGACGCAGTAAGACAGGCTGACCAATATGAAGACTCCTCACTCATATTCTTTGAATTCATTCATGTTGCTCTTTTCCCATAAACAATTAGCGCCCTGTTTTTGTTTTAAATAAACATATTCCATTCAACATATTATACACATTTGAGTTTTGATTATGATTGTGTTGACATGATGTTTTTCTTGATGTTATTGTGATAAATGGTTACTTTATTCTTCCTTTTATGACAATTGTTCATCTTCCATACCCAATACTTGAAAAAATCAGCGACAAAGCAAGATAACAATATTCTTTGAATCACTTATATCGTGCGTTTTCGAGAATATACGCAAGGAAAGTCAATCACCATAATTTGTACGGAAACGACAATTCTGGTGGTATCTTATTGATTCCGTTGATATCATGATTTTGCTTTCATAGAAACTATAAATCACATCGTAAAATTACAAAGATGAGTTCTAGACATGTTACGTTTCAATACAGGTATACTCAAATGACGCTCGTAAACAAAATGGTGTCCAATATGAAGCTATCTATTAATGATATTCTTGTCTTGGTGGGAGTGCATGTCGCAAACAGTTGGTCAATCGAGAATTTTTCTAGGTCAGTGATCACGAAATTATGTACATGCATTTTCGAAATAAAGAATTCGGTACATCTAAGTTATTAAAAGTAGTTAACTCTCCAGCGATGTAATTTTACAAATTGAGGTTATGAATATAAGTGTGAATATTTTACAATGACGAACATTGACTTACGTCATGGATCCTAAGCTATCGTATTCCTTCTGAAGATGATATTTCACTTGGTCGAAAGATCTCTTCGTCTTCTTACCAGTGATAAACCTTCAAAATATAGAACAAACTGCAAGTATGAAGAATACCGTACATTCAAGACTAAAAGGCTTTGATTATCAATTGGGCTTTGCGCCTTCTGTAATGACGTTCTGTGTTTTTCATCAAACGAAGACAGATATTCATTGCGTTGATCACATATGGGAACAAGCATTTAGAAGTTCCAGGTTACAAAGCGTCGTTGCAGACCAAAAATGCTCATTCACTAGATATAATTTCCTTGTTCCCTTTACCTTCAAATCTTTGACAGTTGACTCAATCAGTCCCACAAGCGTGTTCCACGAGGAACAAGATTATCTGCTGTACGACGAGGTTCGGAGAAAATTATTTCACAAAAAGAAATTATATCAAATTATAATTTGTCATTGATAAATTCAAAACAAATCCCATTCAAATGGTCAATTCATAACTATATGTATTGCTTTGTATCATTTGCCCAAAGTGATAGATGTCTTTATTTGTTTTAGTTTATGAAGAAGAAAAAATTACAGCATAAATGAAACAAAAGTCTAAAACAGTATTGCCCTTACCCTTTACCTTCGTAGTAGATCTGAAGCCAGAGCCAGCAGAACGCGAGACAGATGATAGAGGGAAACCTATGATCAGCCAGTTAGCAAATGTGATACCCGAGTCAGCACCATAGTCAGTAAACAGACTGTTTAACAGAAAACCACAAAAAAGGCCATTTAATTTTTTTTCATTATCATCAATTCAAATGCATTTTTTATGAAAGAGACGAAATAAA